CAATCTATATATTTTATTAGTAAATTATAAAAAAATATTAAAAATCTCATTTATAAATATATAATTAATGCTTAACTATTGTTGAGTTCGTAATTAATAATCTTATAATAATTTAAAATTGAAATATTCTATTAGGAACAGAAAATCATAAATCTTGTATAGATTAAAAGAGGTGAAAATATAAATAAATAAATTATGAAATTGGTGTCCCATTCTGAGTATGTATATTATGCTGATATGTTTACATAGATTATGAAATGCATCTACCTACTGAATGTTTACTTTAAATATGAATTTGAGTTCGGTTGGTTCAATTCATATTTATAGTAATTAAAATTTTTTTTAAATATCTTATAAAACATTGTTGTATCGTTTATAGATGAATTATGGATGTGGGTGTAACTTTTCGTATTTATTTATAAAAAATACCTATCTTCTACGCGTATTCTTTTTTCGTTGAAGCATTTTTCCACTTTTGATTATTTGACGAAACATTACGCTATTTCGGACCTCCGGTTTTCGGTAAGTTGCTAACTGCTGTTGCTTTAGATACAATTCTAACTTCGTTAATAACAATCCTGCAGTAATTTTCATATATTTCTTTCTCTTTTATTTGGTTTGTGTCCCCACGCGGCCACAATTCAGAGTCATAGAAGATGGATCTCAGTATCGATACCATTCGTGATATAAACTTGAAGTTATCGACGGGTTTAATAGGTCCACTCTGGAAAGCAAAATTTCTATAGCTTCTAATGCCTTTCCTAATGTTGTTAAAGCCTCTTTCAAGTGAACTAAAATATGCCGTTGAACTGGTGAACAAGTAATTAATTTTTACTTTTTGTATGAAATATGTGATTACGTCTCTAGGACATAACACATTTCTTCTAATATCATTCAATAACCTATGGACGGACAAAATATAAATTATATTTTTATAAAATTTAACTTTTCAAACCTTTCAATCAGACATAGCATATACGAGTATAGCATGTATATATATATACTTATATATAGCTTTGATATGTATCGAATGATAAATAATTTATACATTTATGAAACACGTAAATAAAAATCAAATAAACTCGTAATATCTATACTTTAGTAATAATATTATTATTAAAATAGGTTTGTTGCATCTCAGTACAAAAGTGCAAAGACATTTCAAACATAATTACTTTTCTTTCAATGACGGGTATTCAGCTCGATACCAAGGATTTAAGAATGGAATTTGGAATTGCGGGGGAATTCAAGTAAAAATATCTTAAAAAAATTATATTGATGAAAATAACAATGGTTGCGATCGATTGCTAGACGTTATTTCGGCGGTGTTGGTCAACTCTTCGACCAAAACCTAACCGTAGGAAATGTTGGCGTGATTGTCAACGAACGTAATGAGACAGCTTTTTACTTGGTTACAAAGCAATACAGTGGCGGAAAACCTATAATACAATCGTTAACAGTAGCTCTCAAGTCCCTATTAGAAAAAATGAAAGCAATGAACTTAACAGAATTAGGAATTCCGAAAATCGGTTGCGGTTTTGACGGTTTAGATTGGAAGCAAGTCAAGGAACTTATTGCTAGTATATTTGCTGGAACCCGAATAAGTATAATAGTTTGCATCCCCTCCTAAGTAAGTGTAAAAATTACCAAATATATTGTACCTTTAATTCTATCATAAAACCTTTGCAAGATATTCAATCACGTACCGCCGCCGCAGTTGAAAGCCTATATCACACCGAAAGAAATATTGGAATTAGAAGCGAAGAATGATATTCTACTATTCATGGACCTTGAACAGTCTAAAAAGAACGATTGGACAGATGATCTGATGAATAAAGTAAACGTAATAACCTGATACTCAATATAAGAGATATATTATTATTCTTCAATCTAAATGATAAATTTTCTTTAAAACGTATATTAATTATGTCATTAAATGAATCTTATTTTCTTCTAATCGTGTAATTTTTTTGAAAATTTTTTCAATTACTACCGGCAAAGATTAGAATAAATTTTAAAATCCAATATTTAATCGACCGATAAATTAAAAAAAAAGATGGTTCATAAACTTTTTAATGATTACTATGTAAAAAATTGTATATTCAATACATTTTAGATCCATAGTTTCAACTTCTTATACCATTGTGATCCAATTTACATAATGTTAAAAAATTAAATTTTTTACACTTAGGTATTAAGGTTATTAAGGTTTAGATGACAAATGTAAGGAAAACTGTATAATAATAATAAAAAAAAAAAAATTAAACTTATTAAATTATTATAAATTACTTTTGAATGAGCTGTGTAGTCTCTACGGATGCTTTAGGTACATCACGTTTTCCTTTTTCTTTAACTAATGAAATTTGAGCCATTTCGTTTAACAAACCATTATTTTTACTCCTCTTCATTTGTCCTTTCGGTTCAGATTCATTAACTTTATTAACTTTAGTTCTATATCATAGTAAATAAGTATTTAATACATTTCTACTAGCTGAACTTAGTAATTTTAAATAATAATACTCAATTTAAAATTAACTATTTTCAACTTATACGCAAGGCAAAATAATTATGATACTTCCAGAGTTGAAAATCACTTAATATCTTTACCTTTTTTGTTGAGTATCAGTCTTCTTTTCCAAAGACAAAGTCCTGAAAAAGAAAATATTTCAATGAGTAATCAAGGAAGAATAAAAAATAATTTGGCATAAATATTATAACTATGCAGGTATCATATCATATTTATGAATAAAGTTTCATTTTATTTTACATTTATAATATGTTAAATTTACTTTTATTTTTTATTTTTTGTCTGATTACTTAATTATATGAGTAAAGATATACGGTATTAAATTAATATAAGTGGTGAACAGTAACAAACTAATGAACTTATGTACAGTGATTTACTTTTTTGTTTGTTTTTCTTTGTTCATCTTCTTCGTTGGGGTATTCATTTTCAATTAATTGAAATAGGTTTTTCTGAAACTAAAATAAACGATAACGCTATAATATACGGTTAGTTGGCTGTTATTTTTTTTTTTCGTCTCCTAAATTGATTACATATCATTGTAATAAATAAAAAATTAGTCTGCGGTGAGTTTACTCTCTAAGACATGCCTAATACATATCGTACGTTAGTGTTCAGATAATCAAAAAATTAAAACAAACATTATGTGTGCATCAGTTATACAATGTGATCAAACGGTGAAACAGTATGTATCTACGGTACAAAACGAGATAGCAAAATTATTTTCGATGGATTTACAATTTTTTGGGAGATTTAATTCATTTCACACGACGTGTCCGCCGTAGACTATATGAACCGGGAAAATCTTGTTGGCCGATTAAAACTACGTGCGTTATGCCAGCACCGCCCATTAGGAAAATTTGATTTTTTTTTTACTATCAATAATTAGCACGTAATTAGCATGAATTTGCATGACCAATTTCGCAATTTACATGTCATCCATTTCTCCAGAATCGCAAAAATTAACGGGCGGTGCTTGCGAAACGTTTCGCCAGCACCGCCCAATCGCAAAAATGAAATTTCATATATTTTCTCATAGCCATTATTTAGCACGCAATTAGCATGAATTTGCACGACTATCATCGAAATTCGCTCGATCGTTGTTTCCGTGCAATAACGTATCCAAGAATTTGCACGTTTCACCAGCACCGCCCAAAATCGAAATTTTACGAATTCCTAAAATTCAACTACGCCATCATTTAGCGCGCAATTAGCATGAATTTGCATGACTATCACTTAAATATTTTCGCGAATTTTACATATTTCGTAAAAATTTGAACTCTATGCACTTATAAAAATACAATTGTTACTTACACTTTTTGTTTTTTTTATATCCGATAAGGAAAACTTATAAGGCACTCTGTATTAAATTTTCAAGATTTTTTGAGTGGCCGAATTTTTAATCGATATTTAAAAAAAAAGTCCATGGTGTAAATTGTCAATAAATAGCTCGAAAAAAGTCAAAATGCTTTGAAAATTTAACTGTCTATAGACAACACTAATATAAATATTTGGTGAAAATTTTATGTTTTTAAACTTATTATTTTTTTGAGCTATTGTAAAATAAAATAATCATTTTTGTCGAAAACTGGGTTTGAATAAAAATTAATGTTTTTCCGTTGCTTTTTTAGGATTTTTTCCTGACGCTTTTGAAAACTATTGGAGATTTTCTAAATTTAATCTTTAAAATGCAGAATTGGTTTCCAATTTTCTACTGGAGACTATCTCTGACTTTGAGGTATTAATTCATGTAGTTATGGTGTACACATACACAAAAAACATACATCATTGTTATATCAATACATTTTTCACTCCGTTCAGAATTGAAAAAAACATTTATTATTTGTTATTAGCTGGGACTCAATTTACCAATCCCGGTCATAATTTTATAGTTTTGACATAGGTAGTATAGATACTAATGTAATATAAATATTCGAAAAAGTAAATACTATTTATTATTATTTAATACATAAATTATAACTAATATTATATATTATGAATTACATATATCCAAAAAAGACCTTAAACAAAGTGATAAAAATTTAGAATAAAAAACATAAGTGTAATTTTATGTCTGACTTGTTTACAACAAAACCAACAAATTTTATTTTGATATTCCAATTTATATTGTGTAAATGAGAATTTCACAAGGAACTGTGGTGGTTTCTTTTACAGCCTTTTGTTTATTTTGTAGATCGTCGTATATTTCCCAGTTGTGGGGTCCACGTTTACACAATGTCAAATAGTGACCTATGGATGTTCTAAGACGACTAAGTCCACGGCGATAACTACAAACTCCTCTAAGTTTAAAACTTTTCCCCGAATATTGTAGAACCTCAGGAATATTTTGCTATTTTGCGTGCTAAACGATGGCGTAGTTGAATTTTAGGAAATCGCAAAATTTCGATTTTGGGCGGTGCTGGTGAAACGTGCAAATTCTTGGATACGTTATTGCACGGAAACAACGATCAAGCGAATTTCGATGATAGTCGTGCAAATTCATGCTAATTGCGTGCTAAATAATGGCTATGAAAAAATATATGAAATTTCATTTTTGCGATTGGGCGGTGCTGGCGAAACGTTTCGCAAGCACCGCCCGTTAATTTTTGCGATTCTGGAGAAATGGATGACATGTAAATTGCGAAATTGGTCATGCAAATTCATGCTAATTACGTGCTAATTATTGATAGTAAAAAAAATTAAGTTTTCCTAATGGGCGGTGTTGGCGTAACGCACGTATTAAAACTGTCGTCGAATATTGGACCATTTATGCACGGGTTGGACCAGTGGGATGTGATCGTATGTAGCAATTATGTCCAATATTACTCCTGCACGTGCACGTGTACTGTTGTTTACAATTGCTGCAACTTTCGTCCCCTCTTCTCATCCCGAGAAATATCTACGACATACAGGGGTGGGTTGATGCTCTGAAAGCCCAGACGGGTACGAATTGTACGAACTAGCGAACAAGTGGCACGAGTTACGACCACAAACCTAGCTTGAGGTCAGAACAGGGCCAGTTTTAGATATGATCGACGCTTGCGATGGCACAGGGTGCCAAAATCAGAAGGGTGCGTGAGAGGCGTCAAAATTATAATTAAATTTTATCAATCGTTGGTGACGCAAATTATCTACTATAAACAGAAAAAATAATTTCACGATATGATTCAATACAAATTTGATTATTATTATAATTATCATTATTTATTATTCTATCGACATATAGATAAGGCAAGGATTGGCCACATTTGTAGGTACAATAACAGTTTTATAAACTATCATTATATTATTACAAGTAATATTATGTTGGTTCTCTGAATGATTTATAAATATATGGCAAATATGCTCGTTTGAAAAATTATATTAAGCATTTATGATTATGAATGAGGCTTAGGTTATAATATTTATAATGACGTCACTCTAGTTCCTGAAATTCTGCCTGTTTAAGTTATATGTTTAAGTCGTTTAATATGGAGAATTGCCAAAATAATTCTTGAACTGAGCGCCGAAAAAGCTAAAGCCAGCCCTGGGTCCGACCGTTAAAATTTTCAGACGACTCGGGTAAGTCTATCCGGGTGCGGATCTAGAAATGAAATAATATAGTAAATATAGTAAACTGAGTTACTGCCATAATTCGTTGCGCACGCCTATTCATACAAAGTCTTTCTTACGTCTAATTTTTTAAATATTTTAAGTAGCTACATCTGTTATGGTTCTAACTAATTTCAAAGGGTGGGGGGGGTTTAGCCTTATATCCTTCCTCTTATATCCGCACCTACATCGACCCACCCGGCCAGTATTCCGCCCCCGATGACGAACGTGCGTCCAGCGCGTGCGGTAGAAGCGACCGTGTACCCTGGGCCGAGGGTCTAGTACAACGTACGCATGTGACAAGTATACTTACGTGATGCGATGTCGCTGCCGATAATATTTCTTTGTAACAGTTGTCAGAAGGTTTGCAGCAACAGTGGTCACCAGAGTTGAATATTTTATATAATAATATGATATAATGCGGTTTTGGTTATGTTGCTCTCGAATTGCACTCCAAAAGGCGCTAACAAGTCGAAATGCATTTTCCAAGTATGTTATTTCGACTAAGTACATCCGTATCTACGATACCATGTAGCGTAGTAACGTATTTTCGAACGGTTTTCGGCCAGTAAATGGTGTAAAAAACGATTTTTTCTTACGTTATTTATTGTATCGATTGCTGCGTTGTAACCAATTCGGCTCGCTCTTGGACGTATAATATATAATAATACACAAATTTGTATTAATTTATTATTAAGACTTTAATTTAATATATATATACAATAGCTCTT